GCGGTGTAGCGTGCGGATGAAGAAACTCCAAAAACTGGTAAAACGATTGGAACTATGGTAGATGTAAGGAATAGAAAATTAACTGTATGCATAGTATGGCAGTCGACAGTGTCAGAGCAGTATAGGTGACTCACCATCAACTAACTGTGTTTATTGATGTATAATATGCATATGGTGGGTGGTTGGGTATTACCCACGCATGACTTCGTTGCCTAATATTTGGTGTCTTCATGACTGTTTCTATCGATAGTTTGCAGTGGGAAAGTGAAGGAACACTGTTCTTCCGTAGCTAGGTGGATTTGTCATAAGCATCGACTAAGTTCATTTACCATTGATCATTCGTTGAACTGATGAATCATTGAATGAAGTTGTTTTGATAAGTGTTTGCTTGTGCATAGTTTCTTAATTATAGAAAAACGTAATGGTTGAAAATCTTTTTTTTATTTGTTTATTGCTGATTTAAAAAAGCCATTTTTTTTTTGGCAATATTCGAAATACTAATCATTTGTTGTCATTGTTCTTTTTAGTATTGCATATCCTTAGTATGCGCTTTCATCAAAGTATTAGTGTTTATTGGTGTGTACGTATACTTTTGTTTGTGCGTTTTATGATCCACTGAAATCAGCATTAGCTTTATTGTTATTTATATAAGTATTTATTTCTTTGATCTGAATTTGAACTGCTAAAGGACGTATGCTTTTTGTTTAATTATTAACTTCATATAATATCTTTGTATTTAGTTTATTTGTTGGCATGGCGTCCAGGCAATAACTTCGTCTTCTCTTTTTTTTTCTTTTTTGGAGAGAAAAGTTTTTTCTGCTTTTTTTTTTTGCAATTATATAATTCAAAAAAAAATTATATTTTCTTGTCACCATTTAATCATTATTTTTTTGGCCAAGAAAAAAAAATGGTAGCAAGAAAAAAGTGGAGGTGTTATGTGAAACGAAAATATTAACTGTGGTTATACGGACTGTAGGACTGAATATTTTTCTTACTGACTGATATCATAACGGTAATAACGGTGTTAAAATTAGTGCTTATCATCAAACGTTATGAGCAACAAAAGTGCTTCGCTCGTTTTTGGAACATCATTCTGTGCCAGTACAGTTTCTTTACTTCTTATACTCTGTACAACTGAGAGTTAAAAGTTGTCCTGTCCTCTATTTTTTTATTCTTTCTCCTGGGCTATTCGTTCATCTGTATAGTTAAAAACTACAGATAGGCTTAGTAAAACAAAAAAAAAA